TAAATAAATCAATCAATCAATCCCCATCTTGTTTCAGCTTTCTCTTGCTGAGTCACAAATCTCTTTTCATATTTTTTTTTAAAACACACATACTGTATATAAGACATTGATATTTCCCAGCATGAAAATGTTTGTTCCAAAGAGAAAAGTTTACAGATTATGCTGCTGAACATCAAGGGTTTAAAGCGAAGCACGCTAAAATCTCACTGATTTCAGTGACAGAAAATTAGGCACATGCTTGTTAGGGTGTTTGGCATGCAGCATTTGAAGGAGTTTAATTTTATGACTTCTGCCAGGGATTGGTAGTACGTGACTTTCTGTGTGTTGTTAAACTCAATTTCCCATCAATCCCAAGCAACATGGCCAATGCTAACAGAAGATGGGAGTTGCAATCCAAACACACTTGGAAAGCACATATTGCCAGCCTCTAACTTCTGCCACTATGTGGGGTTTATATGATAACGTGCTAAAAACATTATAAAAGTACAAAACCAACAGGAACAGAAGGTTTTTTTTTTTCAATACAGTGTAACATTCTACATAGTTGTAAGACATTCATGTAATTACCTCCAGTTTGCAGCTGCTATTTCATTTATATATTCTGCACAGAATACCAGGATCACTAGAAAGACAATTGCAGATTGTTAAAGGATACTGAATAGTTAACGGCAGCATCTTTATACACCCACTCCTTGTTTAGCAACTGACCTCCATTCCAGTGCCAAGTCATTAAGTGAAATGGTCGCTAAGTGAACACGAGACACAGAGAGAGCGAGAAAGAGAGAGAGAGAGAGACACTGCAAAGATCACTGGTTGCTGACGTCTCATTCAGATAAAGTTCTCTTGTGCAGCAATGCCAGTGTTACTCTCATTCCGGCATGTGTTATTGTCAGGTGCATGAAATCTGGTCATAAATGTGTGCATTGGCCAGAAAATGAATTTTTTATTACCATTTATTACTGTCCTATTTGTGTAATGGTCTGTGGGAATGACCTTGGGAGACAGGAGGGAGTGCAACAGACTGGAAAATCAGCATGTAAAACATATCTCAGCCCACAGATGTGAAACATTTCAGAAGGGGCCATCCCTAGTTTTCCAGAGAGTAAAAGGAAAGGAGGGGAGAAATACTTTCAGTCTTGCAAGATTCCATTAATGTAACCTTACAATATAGATAGAACTAGTACTCCTGGTTGTGCTTCTTGTCTGGACTCCTTTGGAGGGCTAACAATTTGCAAATGGTCGCTAACCGAGCTACAGTATTTGCTAAATGAGGAGTGGCTGTAAACAGAAAGGCTGCACAATGTACATATTTTGCATGCCCAGTGCCTCTATCCCAAGGTTACTTAGCATGCCCAAATAAAGCAGCAGGAGCAACAACAGCTGAAAGCCAATCAGTGATGTTACAGCATCCCTGGTAGGGACAATAATGAATGTTTTCAACGCTTTTTGGGATTTGTGGGGTTAGAAGAGGAATGAGATTTGGAGGCCTCTGGAAAGAAACTGTTCCTATCCCCGCTTTTAAAACCTCACCTAAAAACTGCCTGGCAGTGTGGTTGGAGGGTTCTGCGGAGGCAGTCAAGGCCTATGTGGGGAACATGTAGAGTCAAATTCCCCATTTAGCATATTCCATCGTGAGAGAACATGTAAGATGTACAGTGGTACCTCGGGTTACGAATGCCTCTGTTAACGAACTTTTCGTGTTTCGACCAGCTCCGGCCGCAAAAATTTATCTCAGTTTGCGAACTCCGCCTCGGGTTACGAACCGGATCCGTGGCCATTTTCCCTGCTGCCACGCGGTCGCGGCTTCCTGTGGGCAAGATCATGGTAGCAAGGAGATGTTTGGTGAGGCTTGTGGTATGTTTTGTGGCGTTTTGGAAGGTTTTTGGTGTGCTTGTCAGCATGGCTCCAAA